TCCCTCCGCACCTCCGGACCCCTTCCTGCCTCCTGGCGCAGTGGGGCCCCTCGTGCTTGGGGCCTGCGCCGATCACTGCCTGTCTGGGCCCCGCTCTCATCCAGCATCTCTGCCTTCCTGCGTCCCCCAAGTCTGCCTGTGCATTTTTCCGGTTAGCCGCATCTCTCTCCCCCCTTTTCTTCCTGGCTGTCTTGACGCGGCCCCCTTCTCAGCCATTCTTCTTCGATTGTTATTTCCCTCCCTCCTTTCTCGTTGGGTCTCCTTTTACTAATTTATGTTCCTCTGCTCTACGCCTCTCTGGCCCCCTTCTCGCCGTAGATTTCAGGTTGGCTTCCTTTAGTGCCTGTAGAGCAACCCCCCCCCCCCATCTCCTTGTCTCTGGCTATGGTAAAGTTCTTGCCCCGATTTTGGATTTCATCCTCTGCCTGCGTGCTTTCTTCCTATCTTCCATCTCTTCTTCACACCGTTCCCACCCACAAATGAATGCCTGGTCGGTCTAGAATGGGCCAAGATGGAGAGTTTGGCCTGCCTGGGGAGTAAGGATGATTATGGAAAGAACTGACTGCTGCTTATGGAGCGATTTCATGAGGACAGAAAATGAAGTTGGTTCTGGTTTTGGCTCTCTGGGCCCGTGGTTACAGGGTATTTTCAGGTTAGCTCCATAATGCTTTGTTTTTCCTTGCTTTTATGTAGGATACACCAGAGTCCACTAGTGTTTTTTCCCCAAGCAGAATTGTTTCTGAGAACCAAGATGGGAGCCACTTAAGGAGTAGATGGAGTGTTCTGCTCACGGGGTTTGTCCAGCCTGGGAGTGTGTAGAGCCCCTGTTTAGTAAGGCTTATTCCGGCACCAGGTCCCCGTCTGGCATGGCAAGCTCATAAAAATCCGTAACCTCCCAGCATACCTTCCTTCAGACCTCCCCAGATGGGACTTAGGGCTGCTGGGAATGGAACCTAGGACACAGGGCCCTGGGGCATGATTAGGGAGCTGCAGTCTAATAGGCTGGCAATCCTAAGTTCTCTTACTTGCTCGATGGAGTTGTGTACCTCGTTCTGGTTTTCTCTGGGGCTTGGACTTGGTTGTCCAATTTTATCACATCTCTGATCATTGGAGGGGTGAAAGATGATTGCTTTTGGGATACTACGAGAGGCTGCTGCCATTTCTAAAGTGGCACAAAGGATAGAGCGCTTGCATCAGGAAGACACCATTGTTTTGTTTGTGTTCTTTGTTAGGATGTGTCAGGGAGAAAGGGGGAATGGCTGTGGGAGCTGGGTGGATTGTGGTTGCTTAAGAGACTGTAGCAGTTCACACAAGCTAGAGAGGGAAGAGAGCCTCTAGGCTTTTGTCTGCGAAGGGGGCAGAAGTAGGCCGTAGTCTGAGCTGCCCACTGTCTGCCCACAGGCACCGGCTCGTTTTGGGGGAGGTGCCTGCAGGACCCAACGTACTCAATGAGCTTCCAGCGCAATGTCCGATCGCTCGGGGCCGACTGCCAAGGGGAAGGATGGAAAGAAGTATTCCTCGCTCAACCTGTTTGATACGTATAAGGGCAAGTCCTTAGAGATCCAGAAACCCGCCGGTGAGGGTCCTGCAAAGATGTTTGTTCCTAACGTTTGAAGGCTAAGCGTGTGTGGGGTGTAGGCTTCTTCAGCAAAGGCAGCAGGCAGACCAGAGGGGCCCTGGAGACCTCCCAGTTTCGTCTTCAGTGCTGAAGGGGGTGCTGGGGTCTGGGTAAAACACTGGTCGTCCTCCTACAAAGGCGTGTTTTTGGTTCCTTGTCCTTGGACACGTAAGAATCGGAGGCAAAGAAGCGTGGATTTGCCAAGATGTGGGGCCAGCTTGCTCCCCGCAGGCTCTGGATCAACTGTCCCACAGAAGCAGTACTTACAATGTATCTCACCTTCCTTGGGAGAGCTGAGAGATTATTATTAAGTAATGGAATGGCTTTGGGAGAAATTTGTAGTGGAAAGGTACAAATTGGAAGAGAGTCTAAATGCAATCTGTGGATGTGAGGCTTTTTTGACCCTTTCTCTACCTTTCCTTCAGTTGCCCCTCGACATGGCCTGCAGAGTCTCGGAAAAGTTGCCATTGCCCGGCGTATGCCACCCCCAGCCAACCTTCCAAGCCTGAAAGCCGAGAACAAAGGCAATGACCCCAATGTCTCACTAGTGCCGAAAGACGGAACAGGATGGGCAAGCAAACAGGAGCAGTCCGACCCCAAGAGGTAGACAGAGTCCTGGGGATCTAGAAGGATGAGTTTTAGCTTTGAACTTGAGACTATATTAAGGTGTGGTCTGTTCCAGACACATAAGAGCCAGAGACAAAGAGAGAAGCACATTTTGCACCTAGTTTGTTAGATGCCCAAGAAATGAAACCTTAGGCTCAGGCAGATGGAGAGAGAGCAGGAAGAAACAGACAGAGCCTGTCTGATGACAGTTAGTCTGTCGTAGTATCTGTAGATGGCAGTGATAGACCAGGGTCAGTTCCAACTTCGTACCAGTTAGAGAACTAAGGGAGAGGCATCTCACACTCTGGATAACCTTTCCACTCTGCTGTTCCCCCAGTTCCGATGCCTCAACCGCTCAGCCGCCGGAATCGCAGCCACTGCCGGCTTCACAGACGCCTGCCTCCAACCAGCCGAAGCGACCCCCAACAGCCCCAGAGGTGCCTGGAGAAGCGGAGGGCGAGAGGAAGAGTGGGACTTAGTCTTCCCTCCTATGACCGTTTATTACCTTCCCTCTCCAGAACACTCCTTCGGTTCCAAGCGGGGTAAAGTCCTGGGCACAAGCCAGCGTCACCCATGGAGCACATGGAGATGGTGAGTTCAAGAGTGTTGGAGGTCTGGGCAGTGGTGGTCCTTAATCCCAGCGCTTGGGAGGCAGGAGCAGGTGGATCTCTGAGTTCAAGGCCAACCTGGTCTACAAAGTGATTTCTAGGGCAACCAGGGCTACACAGAGAAGCCCTGTCTCAAAACACAGACAGACAGTGTTAGAGAGCTGTGGGAGGCAGCACCCTGCACACCTCAGTCGGCGTCCTTGTTCTTTCCTCTGAATCTCCTTCTCCAGTGTCCAGAGCCTCCCACTCTGTGTACGTGCCCAGGAAGGGAACCCCTGTCTGACCTGTGCCCTCGTTTCCACAGGTGGAAGGGCATCAAGCCTACTGTCGCGATTCTCTCGAGAGGAATTTCCGACCCTGCAGGCGGCTGGCGACCAGGACAAGGCTGCCAAGGAAAGGGAGTCTGCCGAGCAGTCGTCTGGGCCCGGACCAAGCCTCCGCCCCCAAAGTGAGTGGCTGCCTTGTGTGAATAAGTGGTTGCCTTATAACCAGAATAGTGACTTCCTTCCATGGAAGAGCTAAATGTATCACTTACTTTTCTCCCCATCATTTTTGATGATCCTACTTGCCCCCAAGCAGTAATGACTTATCTCTTTCCCCCTCTGTGCATTTTCCAAAATACAGATTCTACAACTTGGAGGGACGGAGGTGGGCGTGGCCCTGATGAGCTGGAGGGCCCGGACTCCAAACTTCATCATGGTCATGATCCCCGGGGTGGGCTGCAGCCTTCAGGCCCACCCCAGTTCCCTCCCTACCGCGGAATGATGCCGCCCTTTGTGAGTTTGCCTTTCCAGTCTTGAAGTGGTTTCACTAAAAGCCAGAGTATTATAGTCAGGATTTAGGCAGGGTGTTGGTGGTTCAAACCTGTAATCCCAGCACTTGGGAGGTAAAGAAAGGCAGTCAGATCTCTGTGAGTTCCAGGACAGCCAGGGCTACACAAAGAAACTTCATCTTGAAAAAACCAAAAAAAAAAAAGTTGACCCCAGTGAGACGGGGTTGGGAGGGTGATATGTATGTATAAAGGGCTGGCAGGCAATTTATCCCTCTTAGCGGCTATTGTTGGGCCCTTTTGCAGATGTATCCCCCATATCTCCCATTCCCTCCGCCCTACGGACCCCAGGGGCCTTATCGATACCCGACTCCAGATGGGCCTGGGTAAGCAATCAGATTCTGGGTTTGTTACTGGGGGCAGTGTGAGGCTGTTTGGGAGAAGTGTTCTCTGCCTGGGACGTTCTGTTCCATTCTGTACGTGATTCTACTACAGGCCGCATTTCACATTGTCTCCCCTCCCCTTTTTTCTCCATACACAGCCGTTTCCCCCGTGTGGCGGGCCCCCGGGGCTCAGGGCCGCCAATGCGCCTTGTAGAGCCTGTGGGTCGGCCTTCTATTCTTAAAGAGGATAATCTCAAGGAGTTTGACCAATTGGACCAGGAAAATGATGATGGTTGGGCAGGTGAATTTGGACATTTGGATCTTAAAAAGTAAAATG